TATATATATATATATATATATATATATATATAATATAAAAGAAAGAAACGGCTTTACAATTAGGTAACCTTCAATATAGACAAAATTTTTTACTAAGATTTAGGGCGATCAATATCTGCTGCATATTTTACAGCAGTCTGTCTTGAAAGTGATGATAGATTGTTTGTCGACATTTGACAAAAGGTTCTTCTGATCAATGAGTTTTTGTGGTGAACCCATCAAACAAACAGCGTGACCTTAATCGCATATTGGGCAGACAGTAACATTTTTTCAACACAAATTTGTCTCATTTTCCTAACTTTTTATTGTTGATAGTCACTGAACAAAATACATTCATACATTTTTGAAAATACAAAAAAAAAAAATAATAATAAAAAAAAAATAAAAGGGAAAATAAATTACCGCATTCTAACAACTGATTAAAAACCATTTATCATTGTTAAGTTTTTAACAGAAAGAAAAATTTTTGTTGATTTTGGTCGTTGAATGATTTTACTAACAAATCTCAATTAATTTTCCAACGATTGTCTCATTTTGTTGCATCACAGAAAAAGAAACATTTATGTGTTTTCAACATACTGTTTACCATTGTTTCAAAAAAAAAAAAAAAAAAAAAATCTAGTCTGCTAAGCAGTTGTTGAGTGTATGCTGACTTAGTTTATGTTTTTCAGAAGAAAAGAAAACAAAACAAGTTTTGTCTGTTACAGTGTTATTGTGTAATATCTTAGTTAATGATTTAGTTGTAGAAAAAACGTTTCTTTTTGTAGCTAGCTGTTCGTTGTTTGCAGGTTTTCAGTTAATCTGAATATATTTGTTAGTTACAAAACCACAAATCTAGCTATTTGTTTTCAGCTGAAGAAACAGCGGATAACAGGACGATTTTGATCAACTATTATCAGCTATCGTTGAAAGGATGGCAAAAAAGAAAAAAAAGACGTAACAAAAAGAGGAAAAAAAAGGAAAATAAAACCGAAGAAAAGCAAAGCAGCAAAAGCGTCTGTGTTGAATTTTGAGCATCGGCAACTGTAACAGAGCACACAGTTCACAGTTTCTGCCTGTAATATAACAGTATTCGTTTCGTTGTTGTTGTTTTTGTTGTTGAGAACTCTCGGTGACAGCTTTTCTGACTCGATATTCTTATATGTAAAAGTGTAAGATATGTGTGTAGAGGAAGGACGAAGAGAAGAAAATAAAGAAGCAAAAATAAATGCTGACAATTAGCAAAAAAAAATTTTTTTTTTATTTATGTGTAAAAGCAAAAAAAAGAATTTTTATCAAGAAAAAATCAGTTATTGATAAGCCTCTTTTTATCACTGATTTCACAGTTCAATATTCCGTCCTCTTCGATCAGCCGGTCAGCCAGCCAACTATGTAGCACTTATTCATCCAAAACTTTCTTCTGTCAATCCATTCATTCATCTATCCGCTCGTATATCCAACCATATCATTCCACCTCTTCATCCATCATCTATCCATCCATCCATCCACTCATTCATCTGTTCACTCATTTATCAACTCATTTATTCATTCACTCATTTATTTATTCATTTATTCATCTATTTATCTATTCAATGATTCATTCAAACTTTAATGCTGAATTTACATTTATATCCCAATTATTTGTTTTATGTATTTTTTCGTTTTTTTTTTTTTGTTTGTAAATTTGAGAAAAAAACTCAGACTTCTTTTATTTTGTTTCAAAGAAAAAAAAAAAAAAAGAAAATTTTTTTTTTTTGTTTTTCTTAGTCATTTGTTGTTTGTTTACTGTTCTTTAGGAATTTTTTGAAGAAACAATGTTACAAAATTTTACATCAATTTTTTTGTAAACAACACTTCCGTACAAAAAAAAAGAAAGAAAAAAAAAATCCAATTTTTTTCTTTTGAACAATCACATTTTTGTTCTTTTCTTTTTTTTTT